TTGGTTCCCACGAGAGACTCAACTGAATCCCCCTCTCTCTGATTGTGCTGCACACAGGCCGTGTAATGTTTCAGTTGGCACATAAGGTTGACGGAAACTTGGGGACTACGCCTACCTGATGAGCCCCAAGAAGAGTGAAACCGGTCGTGGGCTGTCGAAGAGTTTCCGGCAACCTTGTGAGTGGTTTTCTTTATTAAAAAAAGACTACAAGGATACTTTTTCCCTTAGGAGTGAACCTTGGTGGAGTTGGAAAGCTGAGCTGTTTTAAGCCAGTTGTTTTAAATGGTAGTCGGAAAGTGAAAAATATTTCCTGTCACCACTTCAGAACAGCATAAGCACAGGTGCTGAGATGGTTCAATTTCATCTTTTTTTACAAAACAATGCTTGAGTGATAGCGTATGACAATGTAGGACAGTGTAAGGATTGAACGGGACAGCTTCACGCACAAATGAAGGGTATAACACTGAAGACGGAAGAACTTTCTAGGTGTCGTTTTAGAAAAAGTTTGGTGATAACCGATAGATTTATTGCTGGGCAATGTTTCGCTTTTGACACAAAAGCCTCGTCAGGCCAAGTGACTAGGTTCCGAGGTTGATCGAGATTTAAAGCGGAAGGAGAACCAATCAGCTAAGTCAAGCTAAATCTCTGTTGGGTGTCGGCCGAGGGATTTTAGTGTGTTAGAGTGGTTGAACAAGTGTTGGGTCGGTGGGGAAACCTACATGTGTTTGGGTCCTGCCTAGGGTCTAGTTCTTCTGGTTCGGTTCATTTGATGGTTCCTCTTGAACTTCGTTTGAACCTTCTGTTAGTCTGTGTGGGTGAGCTAGTGCTAAGAAAGTTGTGTAGGAGGGATGCTGTGACCTTTGGTCGGTTGGGGTTTCCACCCCTACCCCCCGGTTTTTTCTAATGATCCTAAGTGGATTGACAACCACACCGTCACGTGTCAACTCGGCTTATCTAAGACCGCTTTCCATACGCTCGCTAGCTCCACACCCTCGATTCTATTCACGCTGTGATGCTTAGTGATTTCCACCGCCTCGGCTATCAGCCGTTGTGGTGTGAATCGCAGTCCCCGTCTTAAGACTTCCACATTCTCCAGATCTATTCTATGTCCCGTGTCTAAGGCATGTACCGCCATCGCTGAGTCTTTGACCAGCGTTTGGTATTCTTCTGCATTCCTTGGTGGCTTGTTAATCCTTCTTTTATGCTCACCAATTCTGGTGTGCAATTCCCTGGCAGTTTGTCCTATATAAACCTTAGCACAATCGTTGCAGTTAATTTTGTACACACAGTCCCTAGTCCTTTCAGCCGGCAGGGGATCTTTCAATTGCACCAAAACTGAGCGTAGCGTTTTTCCCTTCTGAAAAGCTACTCTAATGTTGGCTAAGTTCAACAATCTTCGAATAACCTCCGATGTTCCTGCTTTATATGGAATGACTGCTGTGCCAATCCATTCTTTACTGGGTCTAGATACTGGAACCAATATCTTCCTTAGTTGTCGTCTAATCAAACTCACTGGGTATCCTATTTCTTGAAGTTTGTTGGCAATCTCGATTTGAGCTGCCGTCCGGTCGATCTCTTCTGTGCACAGCGCTCTAACTCGACGAAACATCGATGAGACAATGCTGGCGTACACGGACTTTGGGTGTGCTGATGAATAGCTTAAGACGGTTCCCGTGTCTGTTGGTTTCTGGTAGACAGTCGTTTTCAATTTCCCACCAACCTTATGTGTTATACAGTCCAGAAAGGGTAATGTGCCCGATGTGGACTCTATCTCCATGCTAAACTTGATGTGTGGGTTTAAACTATTGAGATAGTCGTGGAAGCTGTTTACGTTGTCTCGTTTGATTACAACAAACGTGTCGTCAACATAACGCCAAAAAACGTTGGGTGGACAATGATATCCGGCCAAAGCTATTTGTTCGAAGTCCTCCATGTAAATATTGGCTAAAACTGGGGATATTGGAGATCCCATTGCAAGGCCTTGTTCTTGTGAGTAAACAGTTGTGTCAAAAACAAACTTATCAAGATTCAAACACACTCTTATGCCCTCAACTATTTCATCCACCGAGAGCTGTGTCCGTTCCCCGAGTGTCGTGTCTGCCAGTAACAACCTCTTAGTTACCTCCAGAGCATCTGCCCTAGGGATGTTTGTGTACATTGATATTACGTCAAAACTCACGAGGACTTCGTCCATCTCCAAAGGAAGCCCTGCGACCTTGTTGGCAAAGTCATACGAATTCCTAATGAAGGTGCTTGATTTCCCCGTGAGCGGTTTTAGTATACTAGCTAAGAATCTGGCCAGTTCATGCGGCGGCGAGCCTATACCATCCACTATTGGCCTTATCGGTACATCTGCCTTGTGGATTTTTGGCAGTCCGTAGAGTCGCGGTTGAATCGCACTTTTTGGATACAACCGATACCACTTACATTGCCCCAAATGGTTTATTACGCATCTTAAATATCTCCCAACTTCAACCTTACTCTTATTCATTATTGAAGTAATACTGCTACCGGTAGTTTGTCGGTAGGGTCCATCGGCGAGGTGTTGCCTGACCTTTTGAAGATAGTCGCTCTTATTCATCACTACTGTGGCTTTACCCTTATCGGCCTTGATAATGACAATACTATCTACCTGTCTCAGTGTGTTCAACGCTCTCCGCTCTAGGTGCTTCAGTTATACATATGTAACTTTTCTACCAAAAATCGGTGCTTGTGTTTTAGTGCCTGCAGAGTTTATCAATGCACCGTAAGTTAGTTTGTTAGTGTTAGTTTTGTGTCCTTTGTCAGAGTTTTTGTGTTCTACGTGAAACAACTTCAGTCCTTCGTGGGCCCTGTTTGAAGGATAATGAAAACTACAGAACAAAGACAGGAAAGACTGGTGCATCTGCTGAAGTTCGACAGCACCCAGTCGATTACATTATAGCCCTTTCATGTCCAATCCAGCGGGTCTCGCTGGGGCCTGTGCATCGATCAATCGATATGGCGGTTCGCTAACAAGTTAGCGTGACTTTCTATGGTGGGTAATCAATAGTAAAAGCATGAGATTAAGTGCGATGAATGCACTTCGTCTGAAAGCATTTTCACGTGCATACAACTTAAGGTGAGATACCCAGTAACTGAACTGGCGGTTTGAAGACCCTTATGTGCCTTGAGCTTCAGCGGACTGATACGTGCGCTCACTTATCATCAAAAAGTGGGAAACTATCAAATACAATGGATCTGCCTGAGTAATCGATATCCAGATCAAACGACACTCGTTTTTGAATTTGCCCTGGGTCAAAATAGAGATCAATAAAATCGTTCTGGCTGCGCAGCACGGCAGCGTGGTTAAGCAGTAGAAATGGCCTGCGACCGCTAGCAAGTGGAATGCTGAAATACAACAATATGCATACAGATTTCACGGAGTAACTTGTCTATCCACATTTTGTCCAGTGAAGATTTCAGCGCAGTGCCGTGAAATCAACTTCTCCTATTTAAGCGAATTTTTTGTTTGATGGTGAGTTGCATGCGTAGTCAGTAAATCAAATGCATTTGTTTCCATTTATGCAGTGTTCAAATTTTTTCATGGACAACGGCTTGACTATCCATTAGACTACTGACAAACTACTCATTTCCTTTCAGTTTAGCTGTCACATGGCCACAATTATTGGAGGTAAACGTGCAACGTTCACCAACGGACCACTTGTATCAGAGTTATGAACTGGGCTATCACTAGGAGCCATTGTGTGTCTTGTAATAACTTCATCAGGCTGATTCAAACCAGTATTGATTGTGCGGAGACGATGGACCTCTGTAACTCATCGATTCATATTTGAATTGCTTACCTTACTAATGGAATAAGCTTGATTGCGTCGGGATGTTCACCAGGAATGACGTTTGTTTGCTGGAAGTTCTAAGTTCGAACATGTCGCTGGATTAGCGATGAAATGTTTGCAAGGTATTTGTCGGGCTAGACGAACAGATGGAACGTCAAACTGTGTTTAACTAAAGACAAACCTGACCAACGACCAATGGTAGATGTTCATATGATGCTGAACTGTATTCAGATTCAATCAGCTACTTGTGCCGATGTATATATTAGACGACAGTGAGGACTGCATTGTTGCGCGGTTACGAGTCTTGGGCACGTTGGGCTGAGGATCTAAAACACTTTCAGATATTTGACCACGGATGTCTCAGAAATATGGTGAGAGTCGGCTGGAACCAAAGAATTCCCAATGAGATTATCAAGAGACATCCATGATGACATCCATCAAAGAACGCAGTCAGCACTGCAAGCTAAGAGGGCCGGGATGTGTGTTAAGCATGCCGAGTCGCAACCAACCGAGACAAGCGTTGTTTCCGTGCTTACATCAGAACGGTAGAAAGCATTGGATTCAAAGTAATACTTGGAAAAACGAACATTTGTGATGATGGGTTTTTGCCTGATAAGCCTTTTTGGTATCCAAGAGAAATAGTTGGTGTAATTAAGTCATCCCGCACTTTGCACCCACAAAGTGTAAGGTCGTGTTCGTGGACGTGCAGTCACTGAGCACGCCACTTACATTCCAGGGGAGGTACTGGACGTTATAGAACGTTTTACGTATATTGGAAGTTGTATTAGTTGCCACTGTAGTGTTACATATGAGGTCAATGCACAAGTCTGCAAGGCTCAGGCCGCGTTTGCTAATTTGAGACACCTACGGCGTCAGAATGGTCTATCCCTGAATCTGAAGGGACGTGTCGATCAAGCTATAGTACAGGCTGTTTTGTTGTATGGCTGTGAGATTTGGCCTATTCGAGCAGCGGAACTAAGACGTTTTCAGGCGTTCAACAATCGTTGTCTCAGAACCATAGCTCGTATGGGTTGGTGTCAGCGAATCTGTAACGCAACAGTTAGAAAGCACGTTTTCGGTTGTGTAACGGGTACTTCCATTGAAGAATGTGTCCAGCACCAGAAGCTGCGTTGGTTGGGACATGTGTTACGTATGCCGAAGAGAGTGCTGTTTTCCATGACCTATTCAGAGTGGCGTAAACAGAGAGATGGCCAACCCTTGACTTGGTAGAGGAGTATGAAGGGGATCACAAAACGCTTGGGTGCTGTCGGTGCTACTCGCCTTCCAAGGTGGGGACCGCGTGGTCCTCACTGTGCCTGGTTGGAGAGGCTGTAAGCTATGGCTGCCAACGGATGTCAGCGGCGTTCTTGTTGTCAGTTTCTATCCAGATTGCCTGAGTGAATGTCTGGAGGTGTAGGCACCTCGGAATGATTGTGGTAAGCTAGCACTAAGTCCCTCCCCCATCCACCTTTACTCTTTTCTTTACAATAAGGCTTTCAAATAAATCATGGTTGTACGGCAGTGAAGCATCGGTGTTGAACTCTGATGTCATGCTGTCGATGATGATGATGATGATGATGATGAGTTAGTGTAATAAGGCTAGAAATGATTTAGCTGTGCAACCGGACTTTTTCCAAGGATGAAGAACATAAAGCATTGACCTAATGATTTTCTCTAGTGGTATTCATATGCACTGATCTTGATTCACTGGAAGAAAGCAGAAATTGGTTCGTTTCATTTCAGTTCCGATTGTTTTTTAGTTTATTCTGCTTTCCGTATTGATTTCTGCTTTTGATTAGTTCCACCGATATCTATATATGCATCGATGAGTATTGACAGACAGGCACGTTTAAAAGAAACTTTGTCTGGTTACTATAATTTTCAGCAGTTTGATGTATCCTTGTCCAAATGGTTGACTAGAGAGTAAGCGAAAATCAAACGAACTTCGAGTGCGTTCCACTGAATTTGGTTATGCTACGGACCTCGCTAAAGATGGCCAATTGAAGCTCGTGAAGGAACTAGTGACTCTTTGAAACTAAGACTTAGAAGCTCAAGTACCTCAGCTACGGAAAAAGCCTCATGTTACAAGAACATAGTCACGAGTTCAAAATTACAGGCAAAGTCACGGGATTTAAAATATACCTATGACCTGGAATCAAGGCTGTTTTGTTGACACTAGGTAACTTGTTTACATCGCCTGCTGTCGCTGTTTGGCTGGCTGGACGTGTGATCTGACCCAAAGAATGAGTGCTTTTTTAAAGAGGTTCCAACGAGGAAGTGGATGTTTTGAATAAGCTTCGTTTCTTCTATTTCTTTTCCAATGACTTTTTGATGAACTCTAACAAAGCATGGACCCAAAAAATAAAACATTTTTGCATCTTTGAACTTACTCCGATATACCCGCTCATCCTGCAGCTCAGAACCATTTGAATAACGCCAAGTGTGACGTCCTATTGCCCAAGGTAGCTTGGCTGCCAATCGCAAGCTTTATTCCAACCGATATTGTTTAGTTCTTCTGCTTTCCGATGACTGGAGCAATTTTTACGTATCTGTTTTCAGCATTATCGATGGTGCCTTAGACAGGAGCTTTTGTGTGATAAAATGATGTTTAGCCGACCCAGTGATGAGCTCTTCAAATACGGGCCCATTGAAGTTAAATGAATCCGAGTGCGAAAGATTGATAACATACACGTGGAACACACCTTCTGACCGAGGAAAAAAAACTCACTCTTTCCACGTACAAATCGCGCGGAAATCCCAGCTGAAATCCATCCAAGGTGAAAATTATTTCGGGAAACTCATCAGCTTCTTCGCAGTCGACTTGCTCCTCAGGCTCCAGATAAACACCAAGCTGACTGATCAAATTCAAAAGAGTCCCATATGGACACATCACCAAATACGTACCGGTATCTGCTATCGCAATGAAATTATGGGCTACCGTGTTGCCACTGACTTCCATTCTAAAAGAGAATAACGGCATTAAAGGTGTGTGTGAATTTCCGGAATCTATTTACTTGCAATAAAATACTTCCACAACATAGCCTGAGCTGACTTAGTATACAGCATCTCTGAGACATATTAGTGATCACTAAATACAAAACGGCGCGGGACTTATTTTGAGAACACCTGAATTGCGAGTGTCATGAACGGACAAGATTAGATTCATCCTACAGCTGTATGACGCCACAAACTAATACACTAATCACCTACAAGGGGAACGTGGTCAACTTCGACTAGCGGCACGTGGGCTTTCACTGGCTGTGAAAGCCCTCAGAGAGATACTACCAACTCCTAACAAAGTTCTCGAATAACACGGATTGAGGAGTGTATGACTCCAAGGGGAGCGCTGAGTGGGATGGCGTCGCCTAGGAGAAATAGTAACCTCGACAGTCCTGTCGGCAGAAATAATCGATAAAACCGGAGCAAATCTCGTGCTTATCATCATTGTCCGTGGAATTTTTGTTTGGAAAATGGATTCTCCAAAAAGCAGAAATTCTACTAATGCAGTGATGATTACGGGATGTGAAAGGACAGGCCTTCGGGGCACGTTAATGCCGACACGTGGGACTACAAGTCGAGCAAGAGAGATCCGAGAGATAGATAGACAGAGAGACAGGCAGACAGATATATAGTAGACAGATAGACTGACAGATGAACTGTAAGATAGACGGAGAGACAGACAGGAAACGGACAGACAATAGATAGGCGGGCATACAGACAGATATATAGGTAGATGGACAGACAGACAAATAGATAGATGCGAAGACAAACATGCAGGCCGCCTTGTGGGTGGGAGAGCATGCAATCAGGTGGTCAAGCGACCATGTAGGCATTAGAACTTCAATTTTGGGTTCAAGTAGATCATAAGGTTGACGGAAAGTCGGGGACTGCGCCTACCTGATGAGCCCCAAGAAGGGCGAAACCGGTCGTGGGCTGTCAAAGAGTTTTCAACAACCTTGTGAGTAGTTTCCATTAGAACTTCTCTTTTTAAACCTGCCACCTCATAACATTGCTATTGTGTGAATATCGTCAGGAAATGCAAAATATTATTTCACCCCTCCAAAATTTACAGTTTACAAAATTTATCGGAAATCAATCCAGGAGCTATATCACGGGGAATTTGGTCGGGAAAAAATCTTTATAGACGCAATTAGTGTATTACCTGTGGAACTGAACTCTCCAAAATTTCCCGGGAAGCACAGTCGCGTAGGATATCTCTCCTCGATAGTCGTCATGATTAACCCCACCAAAAGTTATTTTCCCATGGATCAGAGTGGAACTGAATTGGGAAAAATATGGACGGTGGGCTGGAAATATTCATTGATTGTTGAAATAGAAATAAATAAAATAAAATAAATCACGCAGCTGTGACACTCTTCCGGTGCCTTGCTGCTGTTTCACCCGAAGGAAGTACGAGGGCTGGGATGCTTCCAGGTTGCCCAATCCTAGACGGGGAAGTTAAGAGGTAAAGGTCGGGTTCGAACCACGGACCTTCCGGTCAGTAAATTTCGTTTTCTAACCACTTGAGCCATCTCGCCCCCCACTGACTGCTGCCAAGAGACATATTGTTGAGTAAGCATTCCTACCTTGGCTTCGATAATCTCGTCGCTGCTTCCATCTAGATAAATTCTATCGATGCATTGCTGCAGTGTTTATACACTACCAGGCCTGTTTCTCCTGGGTTTCACTAACAAAAAGCCTCTGAGAAAGGGAAACATTTTGATATGCGCGCTTCTGGCTTCGTGCAGTGAACAGCCAGTCGGTCGACCATAAATTCAGGACATAATAACTAATGCCCCAGTCTAATCAGCGTTCCTGGCTGCGTAGATACCTCGGACAGAATCCCTCTTCGTGACATTTTCAAGGGTGAATAACGATGAGTTTGAATCAAGTTATCAGAACAAACTTTGCAGCTGCCCTGTTCGGAAAGTTCTATCACGGTTGCCAAAACGTACGACTGTAGACGCCGCTGGATCCTTTGGCACAGTTATTTCCAAGTTACAACTCTATACTCAGGAGCACTTCTTACGATCACTAGCACTTAAGTGGCCAAGACAATTACATCATGACTGTCGCATACCGTGGCAGTTCTGACAAATGTCCTGACTACGCGCCATTGATTTTTTTAGTGCCAGTGCTTTTACCCACCCAACAGATATTGCTCACACTGCGTCAGAGTTTTCCAGGAAATAAACAGATGATAGATGTAACTTTCTTGTAAGAGTAGTCCCCCTGGTCACCAGCGCGTATAAAGGCGCGACTTATCGAGGCTTGGACGGTCCACAATTGAATGCGCAAGACCGACCCACGGATTCAGTTATGCGCGCTGCTTTGATGCCCCGAGACACTCCCTGGGAACCCAGCTGAATCTCTCGGTTTTGATGTTTCCAGGCAATTGAATGTGCTGCACCAGGCCGCCTCAGGTTTCAGTCGCTACGATATTCGAGATATGCATTTTTATCATGGCGGAATTTATTGCTAGGTATTTTATGTCGCTACTGCTGTAACCGTATATTATATATTGTTGTTATTATGATATATATTAAACATACATGTCCTCTTTCTGGGGCAGGCTTCTCGGTCTGAGGCAGAACCAGAAGTTTAAGGACCAACAATAAGTGACATACTGGGGATTAGTCTCCCTTGAGTGTGGTCCTTCCTAATGGAGGAGATTGAATTGGATTATGCAAAAGTCCTTTAATGGACTTGCTGTCTAAAAGTTCTGGAACATATGCACTGCCAATATGCAGACACAGTGCTTTTTGAACGTCATCGGGCACGGTGCCTGCACCCAGCGTTTGTGCAGGAATCCGGGAAGCGATAAATATCACTGACTTTTTGAGTTAAGACCATCATCTTTGGAAGGAATTGCTTTCGTCTGTTCCTTTCGGGTGTACTTCGATGATAAACTCTCTCCTAGAAGAGGATACATCTATCTGACAGTAGGCACCGAATTTGATTGTGACTATGAAGTGATAAGTTCATTTGGGAGCAACTGTATTTCACAAATGAGATCCTGAAACTTACCTAGGATACACGATGGTGAAGACCAGTTGAGAAATCAATTCCTGAGTAAACAGATACTCTAGTAGTGTTTGGTCGAATGATTCCGCTGTTTCATTAACTGCCAACCCCAGGTTGCCGTCACCTACATTGAGTGAAAGTAGGCCGTTCGCGCGATGCACCTGACCAAACGTCACACCGACCACCTTTGTGCCACTGATCTGACGGAACGAAGATCAGTTCGGTTCCTTCATATGATCTTACATCAAGTGTGTCGGTCCCAAGCGTACCTTCTATGCTGGAACCGTCACCGTATATCTCACATAGGGCTCCTGCCTTTTTCTGAAACGTTTTTGATGTACCTTTGAATTTGTTGTTATTCACGAACAAGCCCGGTTCGCACTTATCTGAAGGAACCCACAGTGTGCTTGATCCTGTATCAATCAATAGACGAAAATTTTGTCTCGGTTTCCCGAATCCGACGACCACGTAGAAACCCTGTAAATGATTATTATGTGAATAAACAGATAGGTCTGCAGACCCCTTCTCCAGTAAGATATGGCAAAGTGACCGTCTTTCCCTTGCTGAACAGATGATTGGTGAGAAAGGCAAACAACTCACGGATTTGCTGATATACAGCTATGTTGAATGAAAAACACTACCGGTATACACAACTTCAGTAGCATATTTTGTGGTACCGGGCAGAAATCAGTGACCCATATGAGCAAGTGCATCTCAACGTTTGACTATGAAAAGGGATTCCATTGGATGTTCTTCCACCCCGGTGACGTGACCTTGAGATCACCATTTGATTGGATGCATATGCGGGACATCTCATTCGTGGTGCAGCATTCGCAAGCCACCAGCGTCAAGCTGTTATATAACGTTCCGCACCTCTCAACTATTTTGACAGGCTACATTTTGGCGTCACTTATATGTTTGGACACAGCTAAGAAGAAAGGCATTTTCGTAGTCAAAGGTCGGATGATTTTGGTGGAACTATTGTGTGCATGTGTATCCGTGACAAGCAAGCAAAAATGAAATAATGATTTCTCACGCCGACTCAATCAAATGAGTCACAAAAAATCGCTACTTTACAGTAAACGGACTCAATAATGCTTTTAGCACCCTTCTGTTGCCCTTCGCTTAAACTCATCCGTGTTCTCAAGCGCTAACTACTACAGATTGATGGGTTGAAGTGAGCTGAGGACATCTTTTGTACATCGTTTGTATGAACTTCACAAGGTGCATTGACTTCCACGCCCAGAGGGGCAATCGAACTTTTGCACACTGACAAGTATCGCTATTGTAAGATACTTCAAGAGATGTACATCCTTTTACTGCCAATAGCTCCAACGGATTCACAGAGGGATTGTTCCCAAAAACGTTCTCCCTCCCATTTAAACCAGGAATTCTTCGCAGTTTCATCGACAACTAAAGATCGATGTTAAATTTTGAGCTGGCTAAAATCAGGGTCTTATAGTACTGCACAAGAACAAGTATTCCACGGTTTGACACTTTTTAGCCTGAGCCATTTATAAAGAAACCTCTGTCGAAGAGATGGATTTCCATGGGCAGTTTTCGGAAAAAGTAGAACAACTATTTTTCTCTACTTCTGTTACAACTGTCGTGTTTTCACATGAAGTCAATTTCTACCAACTTCACACAAACTTTATCCTGGTGGCCACAATGTCATGATGCGGAGTGTGGTAAGAGAAATCTTGGTATAATTCAGAGATCAGCTTATACTGATGAGGATTTACACACGTTTTGATTGTCTTTGTTAGTCAATAGGAGGATTTGGAAATGATGACTGCATTTAATTCAGCGAGTAGTTTGGCGAAGTACACCCACTTTCAAAGAAATTAGGTCTTGTGAGAGACTCACCTGGAACTCAGCTCAATCTCTCGTTTATGATGTTTTTAAAGACATTAGGTTGACAGCAACTCAGAGACTGCACCTACTTGTAGTGTCTGTAACCCGTTGTCACATTTACCATTCTTCCTGAACTTGAACCACACTTTGTAACTGTCGTTCACATTGTATCATGACGTTTGTTTTAATATTACGAATACACAATTTTCCGGCGCGACCTGCTGACTTCTTGCTGAACGACTGTATTTACGCCCGTTGAACTGTTTGTTGACTGTTGAACCAGTGGGACTAAATCTCTGTGTTTGTGTCAACTGTTGAACGTCACAATAAATCCCTGTGACATTTTTTTAGCCGTGAATAATTTTCCTACCGTGGAATATATCACTCACACGGAACCATCTGCAGGAAATCTCGACGAGTGAATATTTTCCTTTCACAGCCAGTTACTGCATTCGGATCGGTGTAGTGGACTACTGAACCTACGCATTCGTGAGTCCCCATTTGACTACTCATTCCTTTCCTATTGTGATTTTTGTGATTTTGCATTGGTTACTTTTGCTTGTTAATTTATCCGAACACGTTGATTAGGTCCTAGTCCGCTACATAATTGGTGAGCCCCAAGAAGTGTGAAACCGGTCGTGGACTGTCGAAGAATTTTCAGCAACCTTATGAATAGTGTAGTACGTCTATACAAGCATCAAATTTACTCTATTTTTTTACGTACGAGTACCGTGAGAATGGCTATAAAGACATATGAATTACACATGGAAGGAGACTTTTTGATCAACCAGCATGTGTGGATTGCATGAAACAATAAATCGATTTCATGTTTAATTGAGGTGAATTCAAACTTGACTTCTGAAATTTTCAAGAAAAGACACACAGTGGTTGACAAGCTCTGTGAATAGATAAATTTGGGACAGGAAGTAAGGGGAAAATTACATTTCTATAACGTGAAGGAGTCTACGAAAGAATGAGAACAAAACGTGTAGCCGTACAGAAAAACGAACGTTTAGAACGGCAGAAGCGAATTCCAATAAATATTGATAATAGAAGTAATGGTACAGTGATGAAAAACAGATCATGCCCTGATGGCTAGAGAACATTTGCCACGATTTGTTCGAGGAACGGATTCGAGAAGTAATATATATGGGACGACAGCCCCTTCCTCAAGAATCAGGGCGGTAATCTAGCTTAAAGTGTACTAAGAGTAGTAGATCAGAGTAGCTTGAACACGTTCAAAAGAAAACACGGAGAGTTTGAATTGCATGACGCGAAATGCTGAAGAAAGAATAGTGAGTTGAGTTGGTATTTTGAATCTGAACATGAATGTCGGACAGAGCGGTCAACACATGAACGAGCATGGTAGGTTTGAACGTTACTGCATTTGCTGACTATATCGATATTCAGACAGTTGATGATTCCTGCATGACCGTTTTCAGAGGAAAGCGGAGCACTGGAAACTGTGGGACAAACGGTGCTCCGGAACTACCTCACCTTTAAAGCGTGGATGAAAGAGCTAGCGGAGGATAATGTAAGTTTTTCACAAGGGAAAGGGTCAATGACAGAGGTCACTCTAGCACTGAGCCGAATAAGAGAGTGCAGGAAGCGAAGATCAAAAGTCACGTGATCATCGACCAACTCCACCAACCTTCCAGCTTGCTCTGCTGGAGAAAAACCCTTAGTAAAATCCCCTTTCACTTGTCCATCCAACACAATCTTGTTCAGACCAGCTCTGATGTCGTCGTCACCATTCACGTACTTTAATGTTTGCCAGCTTATTCCTAGATGCCTGGACAACTTTGGAATTACCTCATCAACCAACCAGGCTTCTACCAACGTCTGCAGGTCCGGTTGAGATGTGCACCGATGCAATAGAGTGGATCCACTATTCAAAGGTGAGCGATGTACCCACCAATTCCGCTAATCCCACAACCATTCGCAGGTAGCCATCTGATAAAATGATAAAATGAACAAAAAGCTCCTAGGATAACGGCGGATACTACTGATGAGGCATGCAAGTAGTATGTGGCCTTCTCTAAGCTCCGCCCAGCGTCTAATGGAAGTTGAAGTTTGTTACGGAATTGTGGAACTGCTTTGCAGTTGCGTGATAGTCAATGTATACCCATGAAAGTTCAAGAGGACACGTGAGAATGGTCAGTTTTTGAAAAAAAATTGTGCATACGGGACGTTCGCTTTCCTGTCCAAACAGCTTGTATTTGCCTATTTGGTGTTTTCTGATAAAGAATTTTGCAGCGAAGGGCTTTCTTCCTTGTACTAGTTTTGTGACTTTGTCCTTTGAGCAATCGGTCTCGATCCATCGGCTCGATGTGGTCCGCTCCAACTGAATATGCTGCATCAGGTGGACTCGAGCATTGCGATGTAACCCAATAATCATGAGGTTGCTGAACACCATTTAACAGCGCACGACCAATTTCGCCCTACATGGGTTTCTTTAGGTAGGCACAGCCCCGTTTGTTTCCGTCAACCTTTTGTTCTACTCGATGAATATCGGGAACGAGAGTTTCAGCGGAATTCATGTGAGGCCCCCGTGAAAATCAAATCGGTCAAACAAACTGGATCATCATCACCGTGCGGACTGATGCCTCGGTAGGACGGTCGAAAACAAGTGTTGCAAAGTGGACACGTTTCACGTCCGTTGGGTAGTACTGGTCCGATTACAGACAGACTGATATCACACCAGCGTCGCGTCATCAAGCTAAGTGAGCAAATATTGACAAATACTCCCATTTGCACTCGAAGTTGAGCTTGACAGCAGACTCAGTTGAATGTAGCTGTATCTCTCGTTTATGATGAGCCCCAGGTAAAAGACTTTTCAGCAACCTTACGAGTGTGTCGTGTCTGGACAGCAACGTACATCCGAACAAACTTCCCTGATTTTTTTCGTAGTCACACCTCTCTCGTTTGAACGATCGCATTCCTGTTCTGGCATAATTATTCCGGTGAGTCCACATCAAGGGGAAGCACTGGACCCGAGTTTCGTTCCTATCAGAGCTCACCAGTAGTGCATATCTAATGGCCGTGCCGGGATTTGAACTCCGGACATCTGACATGCCGAGGCGAGCGTGTAACCACTACTCCACCAACGCACGATGAGCGCATCTGGATTTTCACGTCTGAACAGGCGAACGTGCTCACACTTGAGCGATGTGATTGGTGTACCTGACCCATTGAACGACGACCCAGCAACTGTCCTGGTTGTGACGATCGACTGACTCGCCAGTTGGGATTCCCCAGTCAGGTAGCGTGACACGCGCTTGAAACCCACTGGGCAACTTTTTGGTTGCAATTTTTGGGGTTTTGTGGGATAGGTATTTTGTTCGTTCTCTGATTTTGGCAGTCATGTCGTGGATAGTATCCCCACAAAAGTGATAAACCTATTGTCACATTTATATTCAGTAATTGATTTCTATGGGTTAAATGCATCAACTAGACTGGGTGCTTTATCCGTTTATTCCTGAAGTGGAATTCCGCATTCTGATGGCACAAATCGAAGCGCTGAATTACTGATAGCCTTTCAACTTCAAAGACAGTATACAGCTTAAATGACCACCTTATGAAAGAGAGAGAGAAGACGACTCTGTTGAACTCGAAGAAAGATTCAGTCCACACATTTATTTGTTTGAACAAAGTGATGCTTTAGTTTTTCACATCTAAGATCGGTTCTGATGGACATTCAACCTCCAGGTCAGTTCTTGGAGTGTCAGAAAGTCATTCGCGTAGAATACGTAGAATACTTGATGAGCTAGACATCATCAAGTTCATCAACAGCTTCGATGGGAGTGAGATTTCGAACAGGTAAATTGAATATCCATACTCTTGGTAACTTGTGGATCTGCCATTTAGCTGACTTCCCACCCAAACTACTATGAGTAGTCTGGATGATTCTGTTAGTAGTTTACCGACAGTGCTTTCAGATTGCCAGTTTCTGAGAAGCAAGCCTCTGTTTTGTGGTAAAAAAAATAACAGCGAAAGTTCTGGTGAGTGTACACCAAAACATGCTCCATTCCCGAGTAAAAATGGCAGTCTTAGATACATGAACATCTGTGATATAATTAAGGTCCTGATTACCTAAAGTTTATTCACACTGAAAGTTACTGTTCGCAATAAAGGAATTACGATTTGTGTATGATTGAATGGGTTGTTCTCCACCGCCCCTTAACTGCCGAACACTGAGTGGTTGGGTTTTCTTCAGGAATCTTCCCCAATCTGACGCAGCTCTCTTGCGAATCCCGACACAATATGGTGAAGTTCGACTGTTTCAGATGCGATAACATCGCTGTTGGTGTCACTCATGCTATTTTCAATACATAAGTCAGAATATCTCAGCCACCTGCCAGCCAAAGCTTTGTACAACCCTGAATAATGATGAATCAGCGGACGATGGCTTTTTGATGTCGTTCAACACGCCCCGAGATCGATAACTAGTTTTTATTTTATTTTTGCTTCGTTTCGTTATTTTGTCATGCGTCATGATGTGGATTTTCCCGGGGAAGATTTTATGTCGTAAGTTATCACAAACCAATTGACGATTAACATGAAAAAATCCGAAAACTCATACGTGATTAAAGGCTCACTGGGGTATAAAAGTAGTTTGTGCGTGGAAAATGTGAAACAATATGACTGCACAGCAAACATTTTTGAGAAATTTCCTGATGTTGAACTCGAAATGAAATCCTCTAACCAGGCTTTGAACTGGTGGACTTTTTTGCACGCGAGTTTGCAAGACATCTTTCAGTTGTGACAGCGTGAACATTGAGGGTCCATTGAATTAACCCTTTCTTCTACCGAGGGGTAGCAAAACCCATCTTTTTCCCGGCCTTATCAAAAACAGTGTAAAATTGCCGTAGAAATGAAGCTCCGAAAATCCAGGTGTCACCCGAATGAGGTAGCGCTTTAAAGTTAAGAAAGCACGCCGCCTGTGGCATGATAAAATGCTGAAACGTAAAAAAAACAAGTAGTCGTTTTAGCTATCCTCAATGAGTATTTGTGATTTCTAGCTGTTTGTTTTCATGTGTGGCATCAATGTGTGTGACTTCAGTGAGAGATCTTGTTATAACTAATTTCTGAAAGTTTTCAGAAAACAGTTGGCATCAACACATTTCATTTAACGTACGTATTTAGTGAGCAAAATCAGAATTTGATCCACTCAAACGTATTTGTGGCTCCCGGCTAATTTGCATCCCCTCCTTGTTGTTCGACTGATGGCTAGTTTGTCACCCCTACTTAGTTCGTCAATAAATTCAGAAACCTGAAGAAGATTCTCAGCAAAATCGCTGGCAAATTCCATTTTTGCCTTCACGGAGGGTCGCCCATGTTCAGAGATTTTAACACTGCTTTCTAGTCACATGTACGTATGTACATATATCGATCACTCATTGATTGAAAGTTTCAAAGTTCAGTTACGGACACCAATCATATCATAAACGCATGTAGGACAAATAGCCCATGACTTTGAGAACTCAAATCTATTGCGGGGAACTCTCACCCAGAAAAGTTTTCATTTGGTTGGACACCTGAGGTGAACTACACTCAAGGTGGTAGGAGGGGGTAGGATGCTGCAGTTACCGAGTTCCACTTATAGTAGATAAATTTTGTCAGGTATCTTCTCGAAAAAGTCAAGAACCAATGTTTTGGCCGAAATATTGAAGCCAGATTGGTTTGCCTTCGTTTTGTTTTAATAAACCGCCTAACAACCTATGAGCCAATGGGCCCAACATCATGGTCAATTTCGTGTAAACATTTACCGAGAATACAGTCGGTTTCACGTAGTACGGTTAATAAACCCTCGAAAAAATTGTTGGACTACCAGATAGCTCATTCAGTAGTGTGTAGATGCCTTCCATGTTAACATACGAGTCAGAAACCTGGCCGCTTTATGCTGAGGATGTCAAAAACCCAGTGTATGACGATCGATCCGATGTCCCCACCGGACCAATAATATTGAGATTGGTGGAATAGTTTTCGGTAGCAATAACTCGATGAACTGATCACATCCAGTAGGCTGCGCTGGCTTCGTCACGAGCTCCATATGCCTGTAAAACGAAATTCTAGAAGAGCTCTTATCGCACAACCACACGAAGGGTAGAAACGAGCCCGAGAGAGGTCGAACAATGACTTGGCAGTGAACTATGAAGGCCATTACCAGCAAATTCAGCTGCGCTGGTCATTGCCGTCTTCATGGATGGTGACATTGTGATGCGACACCCAAATGGTTCAAGACATTATCAGACATGGCGCACTCAGTAGAGCTCGTACATTCAAGCCGTTGCTTTCAATACACAGCGCACTCTTGAACTGTCCACGCATCAATTATATCTGCTACCGCCTTCAATGCATTGCTATCTTTCCTATCTCCACAAATATCAGCGAGCCATCTAGCGAGCAGCCAGAACCTTTGTACGGCAAATACGCCACTTTTACAGCTAATGATGACGATGATTTTTCTATATTTTCAGCTGCTAAATCAATGAGTGCTACTTCCCACGTGCAAGCATTTTACATTAGGGGTGAACACCATAGCAGGCAATTTTTGGGAGCGGGGAGGGGGTTAGTCAACCTAACGTGGAATAGATGATTAGATTCATATTACTGAAGGGCTTGGATGGGTGTAAATAGTCGAAAAAAGCTTGTGCCTTTTATTGGAAAATCTTCGGTATTATCGGCTGTTTTGATGAGTCAGAGGTGGTTTGCTCGGACTATTCCGAATGTCCATAGATCCCTTATTATGAGATGGCTCAAGTGGTTAGAGCGCGAATTTACTGATCGGAAGGTCCGTGGTTCAAATCCGACCTCCATCTCTCGACTTCCCCTGTCTAGGCTTAAGCAACCTGGCAGTATCCCAGCCCTCTTGCAACCTTCGGGTAGCATGGCAGCTAGGCACCGGTGCTACAGCTGAACGATTTATTTATTTTATTATGAGGAAAACGAGATGGAGAAAAGATGAAATGTGGAATACACTTGATCACGTTGTCTGGTACCACGCCTCAAGAGACTCTCCGATTATCGCGAGCTGCTTTCAAGGGGAGGTTCATTAGACGAGAAAGTTTTCACATTGGATCTCGTTTCTGAAAATCGGCGGTCTTCAGAAGAAATTGATGAGCATCATCGAATTTTGATTCACGTCACGAAAGAATCACAACTTGAACTTCTGACCACAGCCACACGTGAAATTGAATAGAATAACTGGTGCGACTCATCTACCGGGCCGGTGTTTCTCAAGACAGGTATTAATCGTTCACAATCCAATTGTACGTATTGTAAAACTTACCCTGTCTATATAAAAACTGGGGGAAAACTCTAATTGAAATTCGTCCAGTACGAAAGTTATTGGAGGAAACATTCTTGCCATACTGCAATCCACGCGCTGTGTTCGGA